GGCCCGGCTCAGCCCGGCCCGGGCGCTGCCCACCGAGACCCCTTCCCCCCGACGCTGGAGCTGCGGAGCCGTGAGTCTGCGGAGAGGGAGGGGGATGGGCCCCGGGACGCGAACTCCAGGGTCCCTAGGGGGAGGAGGCAGCCGGGGGCCTGGATTTCTGGGTTCTTGGAGGAGGAGGGGGCTGGGAACCCAGACTCCTGAATCCTTGGAGGAGGGGACTGGGGGCCTGGATTCCGGGATCCAGGAGGAGGAGCGGGCGGGGAACACCTCCTGGTTTCCATTGGGAGCAGAGAGATGGGGCTGGGGTAGCTGGGTTCGGAGCTGGAGCCGACTAGGGCGAGATGCCCTCCCGCGCCCTCAGGGGAGGTGGAGGGAGAGAGTCTGGCTTTGGAGGTGCCTGTGGCAACGGAAGGGTTAACGTCTGGCTGGAGGGGAGGGGGAGGGGCAGGGAAGGGGCTGCGGGGCTTTGAGGGGTCAAGGGTGAGCCGTGCAAGTGGGAGGGGGCTGCAGAGGAGTGGGGGAGGCTGTCTGGGCTGCCAGACAGGCCAGGGTCAGCGGCGGGGGCAGGGGATGTCTGGCGGAGGAGAGGCCCAGCATCCAGGCTCCCCTGGGGACCCGGGATTCCAGGCCCCAGCCCCCTCGTCCCTTAGACCTGGGAGTCCGCGACCCAGCCCGCTCCCTCAGAATTCCAGAATGCGAAGCCCTAGCCCCCTTTACCCCGAGATCCAGGAGTCTGGGCCTCCAGCCTCTCCTCCCCTCAGACCTGGGGCTCCACGTTCCATACCCCGCTCTCCACGAAAGCCCAGTGTTCGGGACCCCAGCCCCTTCCTGCGCGGGACCCAGGAGTCCCCACCTCCTTTTTAGCCCCAGCTGGAGTCCAGCCCTCTGGGGGTTAAGGGGGCGGGGCCAGCTGGTTGCCATGGTGCCAGACTGTTTGGGTCTGCTCTCTGACCCTTGGGGGCTCCCCAGGGTCTGCAGAGAGGGGGAGGGGGACCCAGACCCGGGGGAAGTCCAGCGCCAACCTTTTCCCCAAATCCAGCCTATGGGCCCAGGGAGTTCGGGCCTCCACCAAGGCCTTGTCCAGTGACCTTGAACAAGTCCTGACCCTTCTCTCTGGGCCTCAGCTTTCCCGAGGAGAAATGTGTGGGAGGAGTGGGGAGATGCTCAGGTCCTGCAAATCTTTAAGATTCTCAGCTTCCCCTCTGCTCTCACCCCCCTCCTCAGGCCCCAGGCAGCCCCGGGGCATGCTGGGAACCCAGGCCTGGGCTCCGGGCCAGGTTGTTGGGTGGGGGGGCGGCGGGGGCAGCCTCCTCCCTTCCCCTTCCTCCCCACCTTGGCCTGACTCTCGCCCCCGCCTGAGGGTCTGGGAGGTTGGGAAGAAGGGAAGGGGAATGAGAGCTGGGACCGTAGACCCGTCTCTGGCCCCTTCCTCCCCCCTTGCCGCCTCCGCCCCCTTCCCGCCTCTCCCCCCCCTCCTCAGTAGGTC